AGAAAGTTGGGCAGGTGCACACGTGAATTCACGTAGGATGGGCATGCATGTGGATGCATGTTTGGTGAGTGCATGCACAGATGCACATGAGGGGTGGGGTGACACACACACAGGCCCACATGGGGGCACAGGGGGAGGACCTGAAACTAGGAAACCCGAGTTTTCCCCTCAAGAACTGGATAGGCCACCCCTTTAGCTCCAGCTGTTTCACTCCCTCCTGCTTAATGTGAAGGGTCCCACAATTAGTCCAGCACTCAGCAGTGATCCCTTCCCCCAAGTTGTTGTTGTTGTTGTTATGTGCCGTTGAGTTGCTTGCAACACATAGCAACCCTATGTACAACAGCCTTAAACTCTGCTCTGTCCTCTGCCAATCGCACTGTCTCTGATATACCTATCCTAATTACACCAGTCACTGAATCAGTCCACCTCATAGAGGGCCTTCCCCTCCTGTGCTGTCCCTTTACTCTACCAAGCATGATGTCCCTCTCCAAGGACTGGTCCCTGCTTACAACATGTCCAAAGTATGTCAGACAAAGCCTCAGAATACTTGCCTCCAAGGAGTCACCCAGTTTAACCCTTTCCAGGATGAATCTGTTTGTTTTTCTAGCACTATACACTGAATACTCTTCTCCAGCACCACAGCTCAAAGGCATCAATTCTTCTATCCTCCCTAGTCATTGACAAACTCTCTGATGCATAACAAGTGATAGCAAAGACCATGGCCTGTATCAGACGCACCTTAGTCTCCAGAGAGACACCATTGCTCTTCAGTACTTTGGAGAGGTCCCTAACAGCAGACTTTCCCATGGCAATACGTCTTTTAACTTCCTGGCTGCTGGTGCCAAGAGTGTTGACTGTGGAGCCAAGCAAACTAAAGCTGTGAACAATCTCAATCTCTTCACCATCCATCCTGATTCTATCAACTGGTCCAGTGGTGAGAATCTTTGTTGACATTGAGCCTCAATCTATATTGGAGGCTGCAGTGCTTGACCCTTGCAGCAAGTGCTTCAGGTCCTCCTCAGTTTCAGCATGCAGGGTTGTGTCATCTGCATAATGCAGATTGTTGAATCTTCCACCAATCCTGACATCACACTTCTCCTCATAGAGCCCAGCCTCCCGGATAATCTGTTCTGCATACAGGTTGAAAAGGTATGGAGACAGGACTCATCCCTGGCATATGCCCTTCCCAATTTTGAACCATGCAGTATTTCCTTGCTCTGTTCTGATGACTGCCTCTTGGTCCAAGTGTAGGTTTCACATTAGTGTTCTGGGATTCTCATTCTTCTCAAAGTCAGCCACGGTTCGTTATGATCCACACAGTCAAATGCCTTGGCATAATCAATGAAACACAGAAATACATTTCTCTGGTATTCCCTGCTTTCAGCTAAGATCCATCTAACAGTAGCTACAATATCCCACTCAAATTCCCACTGTCTTACTTGCTCCTGGTGATTCCTGCTGTGGCTCACTGCTTACTGCCAAGGCATGCTGTACCACTCGAGGCTTGCCGCTCCCTGCCAAGGCTTCCAAACTAATTGTTGATGTGTTTGTTGTTATGTGCTGTCGAGTCACTTGCGACTCATAGCGACCCTATGTACAACAGCTCTAAACTCTGCTCTGTCCTATGCCAATCACACTGTCTCTGATACACCCATCCCGATTACCCCAGTCACTGAATCAATCCATCTCATAGAGGGTCTTCCCTCATGTGCTGTCCCTCCACCTTACCAAGCATAAAGTCCCTCTCCAAGGACTGGTCCCAAACTAATTATTTTAATAATATTTCTCACTCAAATTCCATCTGTCTTGCATCTGCGCTCGGCGGCTTGCCGGCACTAGGCGGCTCGCTTGGCTGTGAAACACCTTTAAGGAAATGGTCAATATTTTAACAATGCAAATGTCTTCTATAACAATTACTCAAAACAAAAAGTGAATTAGAACGTTGGAAGAAAGAAACTGTTTCAGAAATGTGTGAATTGGAAATAGCAAGCAGTCTGTTATGTTTAAAATGAAAGCAGTTTGACAGAATTGTTTCTTTTTCACTTTGCACCATTAAACTCTTCCTTTTCATCATTTCTTTGTAATTTCCTTTGCTTTTCTCATATTTTGACTGGATATTACTTTTTCCACTACAAAAAAATTACTGCAATTATGTGCGTACAGATCATTAAACATGTATGATGACAAGTTATTTTATGGCATTAGAATTCTTACAATGAAATAGCAAAGGTTTACAATGGAGAATGAGATAATATTCTGATAATATTTCTCACTCAAATTCCATGTGTGCTGCGCTTGGCTTGCTCTGCGTTGATATGCTAAGAAATAAATGACAAAAAACCATGTAGCTGTAAAGAGTAACTGAGTATAAACTATTTCTTTCTGTATTTTTTCTCATTTATTTTACACAATTAAAAGGCAAAGGGGTCCTTTGAGAAATACATGCAAAAATGTACATGTGCGTGAAGAGTAGAGGTGGTTAAGAAAGCAGAAGCCCAAAATTCAAGAAAGAAAGGCTAGTTTTTAGGCCCATTTATGCCCTTAGTAAACTGAGTGAGCTTTAGCAAGTCTCATACCTTCTCTCAATGGCATTCTCCTTTTCAGGAAAATGAAGAGAATCAACAAAGAGTTATCTTCCAGCTTTCACAAGTTATGATTCTAAAAGATGGGGACATAAAAAAAGGCTCATGGGGCTGTCAAGCTGATTACTAGGGGATTGCCTATCTTTCTCCTGTGGAGGAGCTGGTGGACTCAGATTTACAGAGATCTGCAGCCTTTTGAAGTGCACCATCAAAGGTCTTTAATGGGGCTGTGTGATTCATATGAAATAAGCTTGTGATGACCACCTGCCAATGAGCATGCCATTTTCTGGGCAACAGCAACTGACCTTCTCTCAGTGGAATTTCTTTTTTTCCATCTGGAGCTGCAAACAACACACTCTGACATATGAGTCAGAGTCTTGTTTTGCTGTCCTCAACCCGTTCACTTCCTAACACTTTGCTTTGTTCATTCCACACCGGCAACACTGGCCTTCTTGATATTCTTGAAAACAGTCACATCAGAGCCATTCTACTTGGAAAGCTCTCCTCAAAAACATGTACACATACAATTTTGTTACTTATAAGCCTCTCTTGATTACCTTCTTTAAAATCAGAATCTCATCTTCTTTGGTTTTACTGTATGCATAATGCAATTTCTTAGTTTGGTGTGGGTTTTTGGGTGTGGTGGGGTTTTTTTTCTTCATAACATAGATTGCTCTCTGATCTATAGTTTCTGTTGATGTGTTTGCTGTTTCCCCCTGGAATATAAGCTTCATAAAGAGAGTCACTTTGTTTCTTTCTATATCTTTGGTAACTGGAAAAGTACTCAGCACATAGTAGGTCAAAACTATTTGTTAAATAATTTAGTAAGACAGCATTGCTATTGTCTATTTAATTCCCCCCAACCAGTGTGGATAAGATTTAATAAATCTATTTTAGGCCATCTTTTTAAACAGTGAGAAGTAATTTTCAACGTGTAAATTTAAAGCTTAGGGAAAATATTTTCTCTTCTTACAGAATTATTTTTTTTTCCTTTGCCAAAATATTATTTTATTCTCAAAGTCACTTGAAAGACCCCGAGTAAGGAGATCTATCACACACCAGACGTAGATTCCAAACCCACATTCCTCCAGCCCCCAGCTTGGGTCTCTGTCAGGATAAAAAGTTGCTTTCTTTGGTAATTCTTGGCTTTCACTTCATGAAGAGGAGCTCTTTTCCCATAAGCCACCTTCATTTTTTTTGTAGAGTAGAGCTTTATTTTCAGGAAACAGTGCATTAGTTGGGTGTGGGTATTTTTTTAAGAACCGCAAGGTGGATCTGATGTGTTCTACGAAGTGAGGGGGCTCGGCCAGAGGTGAAGTGGAAAGGTTCTCTAGTATTTGCTTGTCATCTTGCTGCAATCAGAAATCCACATGTGGAAAAGGCATCCAGGAGTACGGTCCTAGGCGAAGTTGCTCTGTCTCTGCATCATAAATGCTGATCATTGGTCCTCCTGTCAGAGCACGGGCAGCACGCAGCTCCTCCTCTGGCCCTCGGTCTTGGAAGGAGGCTCTGTAAATCTCTGCAGTTTTTATGTTGACAGCAATGCCGTAAGTTATTGGAAAATGGCTTTCATTTTCTTCCCGGTCATTTAATTCTGTCACATATAATGTCACTAAGTGGATGTCGTCTTCCTGTCTGTCAAATTCACTGAGAAGTTGCTGAGTGAGTTTTTGTGACAACTGCCTATCATCACTGAAGCCGCCCACAAGGTGCACTTCAAGCCTGCCGCATTTTGTGGGCTCAGAAAAGGATTTTATGGAGTTGATGATCAAGGGGACCTCGGCTTTGGTGTCGGATCCATCACAGTGTGTCAAGCAGGTCGCCCCATTACCATCCTTTGGGGAGGTCACTGCAAACTCTCTCTGCTGAACATACAGAAGGCCCTGGGGTCCCACTTGTTGAACAGACTGACCTCTGAGAAGTCTGGCTCTTTCCTCCAGAGTCGGATGGGCACGGACAAGGTCCCCGGCGGGCTGGGGCAGCCGCAGTCGCTGCCCCTCGACCAGCAGCGGCATCGCGGAGGCAGTGGCCTCCCAGCCCGGGCTGCCCACCGCCCCTCCCGCCCGGCGGGCCAGAATTATTTTTAAAACAATCTTTATAATAGATTTATTTATAAATATTTTAAAAATGTGTCAGATAGCTATGTGATTGCTCTTAAAATATTTTTAATTTCTTGTACTTGGATAGTAATAAGTATTTTTAAATAAACTACATTTGAAAATTATATTTTAAAGTAAAAATAAATAATACCATTTCATAAAGCATATAATTAAAAATTACTAATTTTAACATTTGAGCACAACAAAATCATAAGTAATTAATGTTAAAAAATGGAGTAGATAGAGACTAGCTGTCTTTGTGCAGGGCAATCATAAAATAATTTAATGTTTCATATCTGTTCCTTTCCTTAAATTTCAGGAAATCCAGAAATTGGAATTTTGAAATATAAAGAGAAGTATTACACTTTTAGTACCAGAGATGCTGCATATTCATTTTCAGAAAATCCTGACAAATATATTGATTTGATTAAAGAAAAGGCAAAGAAAAATGCAGAATTAATTCAACTGCTAGAGCTTCATCAACAGTTTGAAACTCTCATTCCATACTCCCAGGTAAAGAGAGTTGGTATTCAAGAATTTATGACACTTAAAATACAAGTAAATAAAAGTTATATTTTGTTGTGCAATACTTCTTAAATTCAGAAAGAGACAGGTCACATGAAGTCCTTTATAGCTTATCTAGAGAAGATGTATATTTAAAATTAGAAATGAACAGAATTCAAAGAGATATAGAGCTAAATAAGAATCATTAAAATAAAATGTAAAGTCAAATGAAAGGATCTATAGACTGATCGTATATGAAAGAAAAGCCTTCAATTAAGGGAGCTCTGGTGGCCTAGTGGCAAGAAGCTGCACTGTAATCCTAGAGGTATGTGGTTCAAATCCACCAGATGCTCTCCTGGAGAAGGAGCAACAATCTCCTCCTGGGCCAGTCATATCCGATTTGATGGTGTACACACACACACACACACACAGCTTCAATAGTTAAATAGTTGAAACCACAGTATTTCTTTTGTTTACAGTTTAATTTAGGAGGGACGGCTATAGGACAAATCTGACTCAGTGGCACACAATTACAACAACAACAATCTGAAAGGACTTCAGTGGGTCTGAGGGTGCTTATTAAAGAATTCCTGTGCCCAGTCAGGGACCTTTCCAAATTATTAAGGAGCAATGATGTCAGAGTGAGGGCTGAGGTACATCTGATTTTGGCCATGGTCTTTTCAGTCACTTGCTATGCATTCTGAGAGCTAGAAATGAATATGGATGACAGAAAAAGAATTGATGCCTTTGAACTATAGTACTGGAAAAGATTATTGAAGAACCCATGGACTGCCAAAAGAATAAAAACTTATGTATTAGAGAAAGTGGAGAAAGTGCAGCCAAGAATGCTCCTTGGAAGTAAAGGAAACATATGAAACTTTGTCTCATATACTTTGGGCATATTGCTAGGAGAGGCTGTTCCTTGGAGAAGAACATGACACTTGTAAAGGTCGAGGGATAATGAAGGAGAGGAAGACCCTCACCCAGGTGAATTGACACAATGACTTCAATAACGGGTATGAATCTGACAGAGATTATGAGGATGGCACAGAACAGGACAGGGTTTAGATCTGGTTTTCATAGTCACTATAAGCTGTATTTATCTTGACAGCATCTAAGAACAACAACAACAACACTCATTACTTCATGGAGCTCTGATGGTACTGTGGATTAAGAATTGGGCTGCTAATGGAAAGGCTGGTGATTTGAGTTCACTAGCATCCTCTCTTCATACTTATTAAATTTGTATGCAGAACAAATCTTTCTAAGTTGGACTTTATGACATCAGGATCAGGGAAAGATTCATCAACAAGCTGAGAACATAACAATTCACCTTGTTTGCTGAAAATGAGGACCTGAGGCACTTGTTGAAGAAGATCAAAGACACAGTCTTAAAAATGAATTAAATCTCAACATAAGGAAAACAAAAATCCTCACCCCTGGCCTAATCTATCAATCATGATAGATGAAGAGAAGATTGAAGTTGTTAAGGATTTCATTTTACTTGGATCCACAATCAACACCCATGGTAGCAACAGTCAAGAAATCAAAAGATGTGTTACATTGGGGAAATCTGCTGAAAAAGACCATTCCAAGGTAGTGAAGGACAGCAAAGTCAGTGTGAAAACTAAGATGTACCTGATTCAAGTGACGGTCTCTTCAATTACTTGTTATGCAATGTTGGGCATTGACGAAGAATGAGAGAAGAATCAATGTCTTTTGAATTGTAGTGTTAAGAAGAATACTGAGTAGCCCATGGACTGCCGAAAGAACGAACAAGCATGTTTTGGAGAAAATGCAGCCAGGGTGCTCCTTAAAGGCAAAGATGATGAGATTTTGTCTCACATACTTTGGTAATGTTAGGAAGGGACAGCCCTTGGAAAAGGATATCATGCTTTGAAAAGTAAAGATAAGACCCTCAACAAGATTGATTAGCCCAGTGACTATAGCAGTTGTCTTGGATATATCAGGGAGGATGACACAGGATAGAGCAGCATTCAGATCTGTTGGTCACAGTGTCGCTGTGAATTGCAGTCAACTTGACAGCACCTATCAACCACAGCTACTATGTAGGAGAAAAACAGTCAGCTTCTATAGAAGATTTACAACATTGAGACTTTACAAGATCATTTTACTCTGTCCTGCAGGGTTGCAGGGAATCACTCTAGATCCAGTGACAGTAGTTTTTTGTTTATTCATTAATTCATTCCACCAACTTACTGAACCATTTACATATATACCAGGTACTATTCTTGACATAGAGGACTTAATAATGAATCAAACATACATAAATCCTTACCTGCATGAAGCTTACATTCTAATGCTCTATATTTTAACTTTCTTCTTTTTTGTCACTTTTACTGTTCATTTTTATACTAGTCTTTTGGTATTTTCTCCTCCTTGTTTAGTTCACTGCTTTAAACTCACTGAACTAAAAAAAACAAACAAGCCAAACTCCTGAAACACATGATTTAAAATACTTATTGTTTGGTATTCTGTCAGCATTTTAACTATGAAGTGGGTAGTTTTGGTATGGCTGACTGCATCGGCAGGGATCCAAGCAGTGCTTGGTAACTTGTGGCCTTGCAACAGTTGAAGTACAGAAGGTAAAACTACACACTTGGTCAGGAATATTGGGAACAACCTAATTACAAGTGACCTTAGGGGAAGCAGCTGTGCAACTAGGACCTTGGACAGCTCAGTCACAGGTATTTGGGATTATGTTACCAGTCTTTTGTTGAAGAGACCTAAATTTAAATTTTAAAAATTTGGTGGTAATTTGAAGATGAATATACCAATTTGGGGCCAAAATCAGCCTTTTTATGGCCATACTATGCTTTTCATTGTTGTTGTGTGCTCTCAAGTTGGAAATGACCCATAACTGACTCTTGAGAGGTCAACCTTTCAGAGGCAGTTAATCACAAGGGAGGAGATTGCTCATCCTTCTCCTATGGAGTTGTTCACAGATTCTAACTATCTACTTTGGGGATTGCAGCACAGCTGCTTAACCACTAGACCACTAGAGCTCCCTCATGTTATGTTTATGAAATCTTATTTTTTAAAATCTGTCTGCATATGCTATCTGATAAACTAGACTTTATGAAGAAGTATGTGGTATCAGGGTTGAAGGAAGACTTATCAATACCCTTCATGATGCAGATGACACAACCTTGCTTGCTGAAAGTGAGGAGGACCTGAAGTGCTTGCTGCAGAAGGTCAAACACTTCAACCTTCAATATTTATTCCATTTCAATATAAAAACCCCAAAAGTTCTCACCACTGGACCAGTAGGCAATATCATGATAGATGGAGAAAAGATTGAAACTGGCAATTATTTCATCTTACTTAGATCTACCATCTACAGTATACTTAGGACCAGTATCAGGAGACATACTGAACTGGGAAAGTCAGGGACTTCTCCAAATTATTGAGGATCCGTGATTTCAGTTTGAGGATTAAGGTGCACCTGACTCAGGAAGTGGTTTTTCCATCCTTTTCTATGCATCTGAGAGCTGGACAATGAATAAGGATGGCAAAAGAATTATTGATACCTTTGAGCTGTGATTTTGGAGCATAGTACTGAATATCCCATGGACTGCTAAAGCAATAAATAGCTATGTCTTGGAGAAAGTGCAGCCAGAGGGCTCCTTGAAGACAACAATGATAAGGTTTTTTCTCATACACTTTGGACATGGTGCTATGAGAGGCTATTCCTTGAAGAAAGACATCATACTTGGAAAGGTATAAAGACAATGAGGAAGAGGAACCTTCAACCAGGTGGATTGATACCATGACTACAGCAATGGGAGTAATGAGCTCAAATGTGTCAGAGATTGTGAAGATGGCACAGGATAGGACTGGGTTCATATCTGTTGGTCATAGGGTCTCTGTGAGTCATGCAATTCTACAGCACATACCAACAACCTGTGCTGCTGCCTTTTTAATATCTTGTGTTATACACATACTTGATTGTTTGTGGCTTATTCTCATGGAGACAGCACTTGTCTACTGATTTGCTTCCTAGGGTGACTTACGTGTTGCTGTGATGATGGAAGCTATTCCACAGGTATTTAAAAAGACAGTAGGGTCACTCAGGGTGAAGAAGTTTCAGCAGAGCTAAGAAGTAGGACTGTCCTTTAACTTCTGAAATAATAGACATTTGAAAACCCTATGACTAACAGAAGAACACTTAGATAAAATGGAAGATGATCCCCTCAGATTGGAAAGCACTAAAAAAATGAGGAGAAACAACTGTAAACACCTTTTGGTAATTGGACTCTCAACAAGATAAACATAATGCCTACCAATGGGCTTGAGCATGTCAGAAAGTGTGAGAAGGGTACAAATTAGGCAGGGTTCCAATTTGTTCTAATTTGTCAGGGTCGCTATGAGTTGTCATTGACTTGATGACACATTGCAGCAACAACCTGAGGGTGTGTGTGCACACACACATATGCATACACCTTAATATCTAAAGAAAATATATACATACCTTTATACAGAAGAAAAACTGCAATTTAAAAAGTCACTTTTTAAAAAATTCATTTTAATGAAAGTTTACAGACTTAGGGTTTTCAGCCATTCATTGTTGCACTTTTCTGCCTGCCTATGCCCGCCCCCTCAATTCACTCTTCTCCTTGAAAAGAAAAAGAAGAACTCTTTCATTGTTCACAATTCCTCCCCCCAAGTTCACTCCACCAAAAAAACAAAAACAAAAACAAAAAACCAAACATTCAGAGAACAAAATAGACCTCTTGGGGAAAAAAATACAATAAAAGAAAACCAAAACTCAATAGAAATCTGGGGGGGGGGTGGAGTAACATTTTTAAATGCTCAAGTTAAAGAGATTTTAATCATAATGTCAAAAAAGTCTATATCAATAAGAAAGTAGTTAATTTGTATTACAAAATGGAAAATCTCCTTTGAGAAAAAACTAGTAAGCATATTTCTAAATAATCCATGAATTAAGGAAGAAACACTAAAATAGACTTAGAGAATATGTATAATTGATGATGAAAATGACTATGTTCAGAAGGATATGAAATGCAAAGATGGAAATAACTATACACCAAAGTTTGTAAAATGCAAGGTGCTTTGGTGACATAGTCCATAGAATGTTGTGCCACTAACCAAAAGTATATGTAACTGAGCTTACAAATTGCAAAAATTAATAACTTGAAAAATGAATGAGTTAGGTGTCCATTTGTACAATTTAAAAAATAAGTAACAGGGAAAACAATTAGAGGAAGGAAAATAATCAATATAAAAAAAGAAAAGGAACAATGAAAACAAACAAAATAGATGGGATCAAATCCTGAAGATGATTATCGAAACAGACTAATCTAAACATCTTGTTGGAAAGATTAAGGGAGCCACCAGGGAGTTTTGGTGGCCCAGTGACAAGAAGCTGCGCTGCAATCCAAAAGGCATGTGGTTTGAGGCCACCAGCTGCTTCATGGGAGAAGGATGGCAGTCTCCTGGAGGGTCAGCTATGGTCAGTTCTGACTTGACAGTACACAACAACAACAACAACAATAACTTGCCTAGTGGGTAACCCAGAGTAAGGAGATTCTAATCTATCAATTGCTGCAAGGGAGAAAGATAAGCAATTTCCATTGTGATTTATGCCTTCGAAAACACTCTGGAGGATCAGCTATAAGTCAGATCTGACTCTGGCACACAACAACAACAATTAGTTTGTAGAATTATTTCCAAAGACACTGCTCAGAAAAATAAGTAAGTCTAGCTTTCTGTTATGAGCTTATTTTCCTGGCTAGTGTTTACATATATACTCTGTGTTAAAAATTGTTTTGCTAATCTTTTGTAAGTTTTAGATGGAGGATCTGCTGTAAGATAGTTCTGACTCAATGGCAATGAGTTTGAGGCGAGGTTTTTAAATAAAGATTAATTGAAACAAGAAGGAATCTGAAATAAAACAGTATCAAAATTTTTAAAAGGCTTGGAGGCAAGGATTCTGAGGCACCATCTAACATACTTTGGACATGTTGTAAGGAGGGACCAGTCCTTGGAGAGGGACATCATGCTTGGTAGGGTGGAGGGACAGCGCAGGAGGGGAAGGCCCTCTATGAGGTGGATTGATTCAGTGACTGGGGTAATCAGGATGGGAGTATCAGAGACAGTGCGACTGGCACAGGACAGAGCAAAGTTTAGGGCTGATGTACATAGGGTCGCTATGAGTCGCAAGCAACTCAACTGGCACATAACAACAACAACAATATATATGTAGAAGAAATAATTAAAGGATACAATGAACTACTTTTGAGAATAAAGTTTAAGTGAGTAATTGAATCAATAATTAACAGTTTTCCAATCAAAAAAGAAAAAAGTCTAGAGAAGCAATTTATTACTAACTTTCAATAACTTTTAATTTGTATCCATTTACAATTCACTTTTGTTACCAATTGTAACAATTATCAAGAGACTTTTTATTTGGGAATAGATGATTCAAGTACACCCTTCTGGTGGTCTGTGGGTAAAGAGCTGTGCTGCTAGCCCAAAGGCATTTGGTTCAAATCCACCAGCTTCTCTCCAGAAGAAAGATGAGCAATCTCCTGTGTGATTTACTGCCTCACCCACTGGAAGGTGAACTGTGGGTGAAATATGACTTGAAAGAAATACAACAACATTAATTTGCAAAACTAGGCACAGAGACATACTGCTCAGAAAAGTAAATCAGTCTAGCTTTCTATTATGAGTCTATTTTCCTGGTTAGTGTTCACAAATATTGTCATCGTTTTGTCGTTAAGTGCCATCGAGTTGTAGGTGACTCATAGCGACCCTATGAACAAAAGACCTAAATGCTTGTATAACGTTCATCCTTTCTCCAGGTTCATAGGGTTTCCAGAGGCAAGCTGTTTCAGAAGTGGATGCCACTCCTGCTTCCAAGCTTGTTTTAATCGGGGAGTTTCACTTAACACTGTCCACCATGGGTAACCATTATCACATTTGACACCTCAGTGTCACAGTGTTCAGCGTCACAGAAACCATGAGTTACCTCTGTATGGCAAGTGGACAGAGCAGGGCTATATGACCTAGAAGAATGTTTGACCAAAACCAATTAAAAACAGACTTGAGGGTCGCAGATTGAAGTCACCCTCCTATGGCTTGGTAGCATCACTTTCTGTTCACTAGACCAACTGATCTCTCTTTCTCAATGCTGTTTTTGTCGTTAAGTGCTGTAAAGTGCCTTTTACATTAATGTTTAAAATATTTTAAATAAGGCTTTTTGTAAAATAGTTCAAGGAGGTGATATTCGTCCTATCTTATCTCCCTGCTTCTTTTTTTTAATGTAATTCGTAAAGTCAATTTATGAAAACCTTTATAGTTTGTTAAAATTTTTTTACTACTCTTTTGTCAGTTTTAGATGTCTGTAAATGATGCTTTACCCTCCCACAAGTACTAACAGCAAAATTCTATTTCTTTAGGTGAAAGATATCAACAAAAAATATGTAAAACCAATTACAAAGTGTGAAAGTAGCACACAGACAGATATACACATATTGCCACCTACTATTGTGAGATCATATGAGTGGAATGAATGGGAATTAAGAAGAAAAGCTATACAGTTGGTTTGTAATAAGAGTTTTTAAAATAATTTTAAGTTGGAGAATTTTAGTATGTTGTTAATTATAGAGTTGGTTATCTATATTATATATATATGAAACAATGAGCTTACATGACATTCTTTACTACTATAAAATCAATTAACATAATATATATAATGTTCCATCTTTATGTTGCAAGTTTATCTTATGATTTTAAGAACAAATTAAAAAAACAGAAACCTAGACTATTTTTGTAGGCCATCAATTTGATTCTGGGGCATAGCAGTTCGACATGACAAACTAGAGTTCCCACAGGGTTATCTAGCTTGTCATCTTCATAAGAGTAGATCGCCAAGTTTTTCCTCCTGTGGAGCTACAAACAGCCCATGTTTTTTGTTTCTTTTTAGCAGCTGAATGCTTAATATTTGTACCACCAGGGCTCTTTAGCATGGGACTTCTCTAAAATTATAAAGCCAGGGGTTAAAACAATGATGTTTGTTTTTGTTATGTGTCATCCCATCACTTGGCACTCATAGCAACTCTGTGTGCATTAGCTCTGAAAGCTGCCCTATCCTGAGCCAATCTCATCATCTCCAACAGACTTAATCCCATTTCCCCAGTCACTGAGTCAATCATTCTCATCCTGGGTCTTCCTCTCCTGCGCAGTCCCTCCACCCTTCCAAGCGTAATGTCCCTATCCAAGGACTGTACCCCTGGCCATATGCCCAAAGTATGTAAGACAGAGCCTCAAAATCCTTGTTTCGATCCATTTAGTTGTAGTTGATTATTTGGGCTGTTTCCATGACCTTGTGATGGGTGGTACATTCACACAATGGAATACTAAGCAGCACTCAGGAGCAACAATTTTGAAAAATACTACATAACTTAGGAGGGACTGGAGAATGTTACGCTGAGTAGACAAACTCAATCTCATAAGGACAAATATTGTATAATATCATTATTTTAAAACAAAAGGATAACTAGTAAAATATTCATGGAGACCAAAGAGAGGAAGAGGTGGGAGCAGAGGGATGAGGATGAGTAGAGGCAAAACCACAGGGTTGCATAGTATGATGAGTGAATGGTGGGGGGTGAAGGAAATGGGAAGGATCCAGAGGGGACCTGAAAAGATTGGTTAATGATGAGCAAGGTCCAATGGTGCTTGATTTTATAAAACATAGTGCATGGGAATGACTGTGTGAAATGCAAAATGAATGAAGAATAGTGTGTATACGAACTTTGTGAGCAAATCAATATACAAGAAAATAAATCCTTGCCCCCAGGGAACAAACTGGTTTCACCCTCTCCAGGACAGACCTATTTGTTCTCTTGGCTGTCCACTATGTGTTTAACACTATTCTCCAGCACTACAACTCAAAGGCATTGATCCTTCTTCTGTCATCCTTAGTTATTGCCCAGCTCTTTGACGCATAGCAAGTTATTGCTGTTTTTAGGCTGTGATCTAATTAATGGTGTTGTTTCCCACTTAGATCTTCTTATAACTGATTAGTTGATCACATCTCAGAATACTCTGTGAAGATTGACCCTATTTTTTTTTAGATTGACCCTATTATTACATAACTGTCTCTAATCCTGCTTCATTAACATCTCAGAGGTTAAGATTTACAACTCGTAGGATAATTACATTATACTGAAAATCATAACCTAGCCAAGTTGACACATGTTTTGGGGAGACACAAGTCAATCTATGTCACCATTTTCCAGATCATTGTCACATAGATTCCATCAGCCACTCACTTATACCTCATATTATATATTCACTTGAGGTTTTCACACTTTTACTGGGGTATAGAAGGATGGATATATCAGTATAGATATTATACTACTTTGATTTTTGTATTGATTTGCTTTGTTGTTCTTTCATCCTGTGTTTCATACAATCATTCTCATGCATTATGTTTCATAAAATTAATCCCCATTGGACTCTGCCCATCATTACCCTGTCTTTTTGTCTTGTCCTTCCCATTTACTTCCTCCCCTCTCTCCACCCACCAAACTGTGTAAAACTCTGGTTTTGTCACTATTACCTGTCATTACCCCTCCCCACGTTGAGTTCCCAAATATGTTTTACTAGTTGTGCTTTTACTTTTACAATAATGGACTTATACAGTATTTGTCCTTATTAGACTGTGTTAGTTCACCCAGCATAATGCTCTCCAGCCTCTCCCAAGCTATGCAGTATTTTTCAAAACCGTTGCTCCTGAGTGCTGCTTAGTATTCCATTGTGTGAATGTACCACTATTTTTCAGTCCATTCAGTTGTGGTTGGGCATTTGGGCTGTTTCTCTGTTCTTGCAATGGTGAATAATGATGCTAGGAACATGGGAACTCTTGTTTTTGTCTCAGTTCTAATTTCCTTGGAGTATATTCCTAGTAGTGGAATACAAGGGTCATATGGAGTGTCTGTGTTCAACTTTTTGAGGAAAACACCAAACAGTTTTCAGACTAGATGCACCATTTTACAATCCAGCCAACAGTGTATGAGAGTTCCCACCTCTCCACAGTATCTCCAGCATTTATTACTTGTTGCTGTACTAAACTTTGCCGCTGATGCTGGGGTGAGGTGGTATCTCATTGTGGTTTTGTTCTGCATCTTTCTCATTGTAAGTGATTTTGAGCATTTCTTCATGAGTCTGTTTGGCCACCTGAATGTCTTCCTCTGTGAAAAGTCTTTCCATATCTTTTGCTCATTTTGTAATTGGGTATCAGTCTTTTTCTTCTGGAGGTCCAGGAGTATTCTGTAAACTTTTGTTATGAGACCCTTGTCTAAGATGGTATTGCCAAATGTTTGTTCCCAGTTAGTAGGATTTCTTTTCATCCTGTTGGAAAAAGTTTTTTATGAGCACAGAGATTTAATCTTAAGAAAGCCCATTCATCAATTTTATCCACTCCAGATTCTGCATTTCTGGCTGTATTTGTCAGTCTCTTTATAGCATAGGCTAGTCCTTCTAAGTTTGGTACCACTTTGTCTCTTATGAACTATATGATTTGGGGCTCTACTTCCAGGACTCTGATCCACCTTGAGTTGATTTTTTGTGTGGTGTGAGATGTGGATCTTGTTTCAGCTTTCTGCAGGTAACAGTCCAGTTTTGCCAGCACCATTTGTTGAAGAGGTTGTCATTTCCCCATTTGATAGGTTTTGTTTCCTTGTTGAATATTGGTTGACCAGAGATAGACGGGTTGATTTCTGAACAAATACCACGCTGTTTCGGTTACTACCACTGTGTAGTAGATTTTGATGTCAGGGAATGATATGCCTCCCACTTCATTTTTGTTTTTCAGAAGTGCTTTGCTTATTTGGGGTCTGTCTCTTTCCTCTCCAAATAAACTTGACAATTTCCCTTTCAATCACTTTGAAAAATGGATATGGTATTTGTATTGGAATTGCATTGGATGTGTATCAAAATCCTTTTGATAGGGCTGTCATTTTCACAATATCGATTCTTCCTATCCATGAACGAAGAACATTTTTTTAATTTATTTAGGTCTCTTTTTTTTAATTTAGGTTGTTTATTTTTCATTTCAATGAACATCTGCAGAGATTTTGGGATTCCATTCAGTCATTGTTGCACCCTTCTCCCCGCACAAACCCCTCCCCCCTCCCCCCCATTTGCTCCTCTCCTTGAAAAGCAAAAGAAAAACTCCCTCATT